CATTAGCTGTTGATCAAACCTCTTTCAAATCATCACAAATAATATCATAATAGTATTAAATGATCCATTGTGACTAAGTATCACTTAAAATGCACTGAAAATGAATTTGTCAATTTTCAACAAAAAATGAACATTAATATGGATATTTATATTTAATTAAAGTCAAAGACTAGGTTAAAACACAAACATAGATTTTTTTTATCTGAAATATTTAATGGTGAAATTTTGAATCAGAGCTACATGTATCAGTATTTCTTTGTACAACATTGTTTGACTCTATATGAAGAATTATTGCACAAAAGCACTCATGTGTAAATGAAAAAATATACTGTAAATCACTTTTTATTCGTATTTTTGCGTAAATACAATTTATATACATATATAGAGGAACAAATCGTGTAAATTTTGTCTCGCTAATGTGTTACCGCGAAAATAAGGGTCGCGAGTGATCTACAGTATAAGGAATCTGTACCTAGATTCCACTTAAGCCCTTGAGTAGTGACACATTTACAGGGCTCACCAATAGGGATTAAACCACACCACTGCCCACAAAGTGCTGGATCCACCAATATCTTATGTTTGCCCTGTAAAAATTAAAGCTCTTTTGCTAAATGTATGTGTTCTTGTTTTCCCATGGTGAGTATGGTATTTAATATTGTTTTACCATGTTTAGAATCTCATACAAAAGAAGATTGCATACTAGCTTGTGCAATTAAGAAATTTCATAGTCATTTTTTAATAGCTTTGTTATTTTAGCATTCAATAAAATTTGAATTCTACAGACATGTGATAAGGATGAGTGAGCAAGAATTTACAAGTAAATTTAATCAAATGCAGTTTTTTTTTATTTACATACATGTGAATTATGAATAGAAGTTTAAGAGCCAGATGTTTCAAAAACTTTTATAAATATATAACAATAAGCAAAAATTAATAAAAGATAGTTGTATTTGTGTGAGAAAAAACTCAGATGTCCAGTACATCTTAGTCTTACTGTCTTGAGAAGGAAAGCTGTGGTGTCCTCTGAGAAATGCATCACATTGGCACTAGTGTACTGACTGGCTTCAAACAAAGTGTTCACATTGGCAAACACATGATCAAGTCTGCCGTCAAAGGATCCATACACATAAATATTGTCTATCTGTAAAAAGATATAAAATGAGAAATCTTCTAACAACAGAAAAAAGATCACACCTGCATTAGCAAGGTGCTAAAATTTCAAACCCTTTAATATTATTAACAAATCAATTATTATACTTTCTGTTAAATACTAAAATCATGTATTTATCAGCCTTAGCAACACACGTGACAACGGGTAACACAACGGTAATGCCACATGCATGGAAATTATGCGCGTACGGTTATTTTATATTGAATGGTACAGTAATTTTAATTTTATTGTAAGATAATGATAAAATGCTTGAATTGAATCTTTTCTATCAGTAGTGGTAACAATTACATTCATTCTGTTAATTTCTATAAAGTATAGTTTAATACAGCTCCTCACAAACTCTGGAACAGAAATGTTTTTACTTTTTTCTCTGCAAATTTATTTATAAATTCCTCTAACCTGTTTGTCCTTTTGTCTTTTGCCTATCTCCATTATGGCCTTTGTAAAGTCTGTGTAGTTTTGATCTGGGGTTGGCATAATCTCTACTCCCTGTTGAATCATTTAAATCTTTAGTTAACATTTGATAAATATATATATTTATTTCCATTCTATTAAAATCTTACAAATGTAAAAATGTAGGAAAATTTTGGTTGTTTTTCACATTGTTATATATTACAATTTAAGTTCCATGATAAACTTTAAATGCAAGAAAAATGGTTGTATAATATTACATATCTCAGTGAATCTCCCTACAGCACCTTTCATCATGCAAATACATGTCATCAAAATTATCATAATTTTTTATTATTAAAAATGTACATGTATATATACAAGTGTATAAATACTTTGAAACACTATACTTTATACTTCTTCAATGTATTCTAAAATTGAAAGGGGAAGCTGTATCAGCCTGTTGTCCATTTCCATGGAATTCCTTATTATTTTAAATAAATATTTTTTATATGTAGCTGAAATTGTAGACAGAACAATTAAGTGTCTCATGATTTTGTTATGTGTGACCCTCCCAGGACAGACAGATGGAAGAACAGATGGTGGACAAAATGATTCCTGGTTGTTTGAAATTCAAAAATAAGACTAACAGTTGACAAATCATCCAGCACACTTACTTTCTCTTCATAAAACTTCTTGACAGATTCCTGGATTGAATCAAAATCTCCGGTGATTAAGTCAGGAAGAAAGGCATGAGCATTGTCCCTGAATGTATTGTATAGATGATTACAGCCCCCATCTACTGCCACTCGAAACAGAGCTAAAAACACAAATACATTCATTCCTTTACATCTAAATTCAGGTAACATATTGTGTTGTCTATAAGAAAAACAAAAAACAAAAAAAGCAAACAAACAAACAAACAAAAAAAGCAAAAACAAAAACAAGGACCAAACCAAAATAAATAACAAAAAAAATACAGTAAAACCTGTCAAATGCAGACTTCCCTGGTGGTTTCAAAGGAATTGACCAGATTAAATAACACTGGATTGGACAAAAATTCAATCAAAGTATTTGACAGAAACTTGGAGGAACGTTAACAGGTAATCACTAAAAATAATTTGTTTAAAATTTTGCCTCATTTAAGTCAAATGTTATATAATTATATAAATGCACATAATTCCTGCCTTTATTCCATAAAGCTGTAAGAAATGACTTGTTGTATGGATTTGGCTGATTCAGTAGCAGCAGGGCTATCCTTGTTTCTGAGAAGGAGAAAATTTTTTATCAGTATTTAGTTAACATGTATCTGCATAAACAACTTAAATCTTTCTCTGGGTAAATTGTTCATTTATTTATCTGAAATTTAAGTTTTGTATGTAAGTAATAATATAAAAATGCAGAACTTGCATATTTAGGCTATTAATAGTTTCTCAAAACATTTCATTGAAATTTATAATTATAATACCAGAAGTTATCAATATAAAAAATGTACAAGTTATAGATGTACAATGTACTCAGTCATTGCTTTATATTTACATTTGCAAATGTTTTCCTTTATATAACACTATTGAAAGCAAGCGTTTTTATAACTGTATAAATCATGTATGAGGTCAAGAGGTCATAGATGTTTGTGGATGGATAACCCTATAAGAATAACTGTAATTTTTGACGTCATAAATGATCGACGCGCGTTGCAGTGGATTACATACATGCCGTTGGGTTTAATTAATGCATTTCACACGTTAAAAGTCACAATCAGGCAAATTTAAAGTATGAATAAGTCTCAAATGTAAATATAAATAATAAGGTATCATTTTCTTGAAAACAGTCCAAAGGATTCCATATGTAAACACGGATTTGATGCAAAAGCCTTTAAAAAAAATAAATCTTAATAAAGCCCTTCATGGCTTTATGTTAACGGATTTGTACAACTGTAAATGGATGTAGGCCAAAGCCGTTTTACAATCCCAATAAAACTCAAAAAATGATACCTTATTTCTTAAATATTTACATTTCCAATGTTTTTGTCCAAGATAAAATTACAATAAAGTATAAAATACTTTATCAATTTTACATAAATGTATTGGTTCATCCATAGGTTAAAAAAAATCATGTGCAAGGCAGGAAAAATAGAGACAGAAGCGGGTCTTGTAGCACATAAAATTGTGGAATCAAGAGAATGTAAATATAAGGAATAACTGTCGGAATTTTTGGTTTCATGACAATGATCAATCAATTGGCTTGTGTGATAATTTTATGCATAACACCTTCGGATCAAGCAAATCGGTTGATCACATCATGAAACAAAAAAATGAAACAGTTATTCCTTAATAAAGTTCTGATCAGTTTCAATTGGAAAAATAAATGCATGTGTTTATATTACCAGACTTATCTTGAAAACAGTCCAAAGGATTCCATACTGTAAACATACTGATTTGATGCAAAAGCCTTTAAAAAAAATAAGAATTCATTAATAATACATTGTCATACATGAAGTTTATTTGTTAACGACAAGGATCAATACTGTACAACTGTAAATGGATGTAGGCGAAAGCCTGTTTGACTTCTATAAAGAGAATACTGTCTAATGTACCATGCATGCTTACAGCTTAATTTAACACATAACCAACCGAGTCGAACTGACACGGTATTTTAACCCAATTTATGACAAAATCACATGCAGACTGCTAATAAAAAATACTTTTCATTCATTGCTGAAGATCCAGTATATATGGTGAAATGATTTACCCCCAAAACACAGAAATATTGACGTGTGTTTCTTCAAAAAACTCCGCCTACAATTTGTTGACAAACCAAAACATTTCTTCCTTCAAACACAGAAGAGCCTTTTTCGCGGGAATGCAAAAATGTCAACAAACAGTGGAAGACCACGCCGAAAATGTGTTTCTGTTTCTTTTGTTGGGGATGACAAAAGTTAAAAATAATGCACATTTATGATGCCATGATAGGGAAAGAAAGGTATTTATAGACAATACATCTTTGAGTAAAATCACTTTTTCAGTATGTAGTAGGCCTAGAATATGGAAAGAAACATAGTTCGAATTTCCTCACTTTGAATATCTGAAATTTCTCACATAAGGTGTAAAACAAGTCTTTTAATTTAATCTACTGCAGTATGGTTTTTTGCTTTTTTAACTTTTAAATTCAAAAGTATTTGTTTTAAGGTCATTAATAGGAAAAAGGGGGGCATTCTCTGTAACCACTTAAACTTCGTTGTCCAAACGAAAATCCTATTTCATGCGGGTAGAAGGGGGCACATCACCGATTTTTTTCAGATGAAACTTCATCTTTTCATTTACATGCTTAGTACTTGACACCAGAAACAAATATCAAAACAAAATTTCGTTGCTATGTGTCTTTTAACCACTATGGCAACAGCAAAAAGTTTGAAAAATCCAGCCACTTTAAATCTTGACTGTGGCTTAATAAAAACCACAAGGAACCAAAAGCAAATAAACCACAAGGACTCTTATTTAATTTTAATGAGTCAAAAATGTGCAATTTTTAGTCATCTGAGTCACACAGGTGACCGATTGCTATATGTTATGTCACTTCTTTTGAACCATTTCAGCTTCTTTTCTTGTTATCCAATTTCAACCAATTTTGGCACAAAGCATCTATAGGTAAAGGGGAGCATAATTTTCAGATTTCAAAATCTCTTACCCACAGGGCCTGAGGTGTGGGACCAAAACCATCAGGGAATTTTTAAAAATATTTTTCCTTACTCCTGGGCACCAAGCTGTCAAAATATTGGCATGCTTTTAAAATGCATTTAGTCAACTATAAAGTATGTAAAAATTTAAGTTCAAAGGATAAAGAAATTTTATTGACCAAAAGCAGGAAGATTTTATTTTTTTTTATTTATAATCAATTTTTTTACCCATTATCACATGCACCATACAAAACACTGAAATGTATTGTCAGATCTATGCAAAATTATGTTTCTTTGTTGACGGTAGATACTTTTTTTTTTAAGTCAGAAAATGTATTTACCGATACTGTTTACTGATATTTTTATCAAAAATTTAAAATTCGATATCTTCAATTTTGAAAAAAAAAAATTTCTCCCCCTCCCTCCTGTGTCTGAAACCCTTCAGATGGCAATTCTAAACAAACAATTTTTTAAGGATGGCCTTATTGCTCATTATCAACCAAATATACTCTACCATCTTCAACTACTCCATCATCACTTTTTAAATCATGCAATACTGCTTGCTTACTTTGAGTAGGTGTATCTTTGGGTGTCACTGGGTTCGTTGTGGGTGCTAATGTGTTTCTTTGTGGTGTTGTGCATGGATAAGGGGAGTTAATGTAGATTGTTGATTACATTTGGCTGTTAATCCCCTGTGGGTAAGAGATTTTGAAGTCTGAAAATTTTGCTCCCCTTTACCTATAGATGCTTTGTGCCAAAATTGGTTGAAATTGGATAAGCTGTTCAAGAAAAGAAGCTGAAATGGTTTAAAAGATTAGGAAACAGACGGATAGGAAGCACAAGGTTGGACAATAACATATAGCAATCGATCACCTGTGTGACTCAGATGACTAAAAATTGCACATATAAACCATAATTAGACTCATTAAAATTAAATAAGATGTCCTTGTGGTTCCTTGTGGTATCCTTGTGGTTCCTTGGGGTTCCTTGTGGTTCCTTGTGGTTAAAAGACACACCCCAACGTGCCTGTTGAAAGTGAAAAACATGTTACCTTGAATTAAATTTCATAACTATACGAAACTAGAGAAACAGAAATGCGAAATTGCATTGTTGAAATTACTGCTACCAACGTGTTGTTAATTATGATATAAAGAAGTATTCCCTGGGTATTCGTATTTTAATGACATAAATTCTCAATGTTTTTACCGGTGGCAATGAACAGTTCTTCGTTTGCGTTGGAAACATATGTTGCCAGTTGGGATCCTGCATAAGTTAAAATGTGTAAATTTTAATAGGGAATCAGATACTTTCCAAAACATAGGCTACTTGAAAGAACACAGACCAGGTGGCATTTAATTTTATATTTAAAAAAACGGGGGCTTCTGTAAAAATCTGCCCCCAAAAATCAAATAATTAAAAAAAGGTAAAAGTGTTGATTGTTATTGTTAAATGCCGAGTCGGCAAAATTTCAGCCGTATTTTGGCGGCGAATGAATACATGCTTTATTTTGAAAGAATATCTACAAACATTGCATGGAATACTTCGAATTTTACATTTTATTATAAACCTTGTAATTGTTTTAATGAGTTAATAAGAGAGGCTATTATCACCTTTATATATAAATGATGATCTAATGTTTATGAATAGCTTCCTTATTGGAAGATCGAGTCTTAATTGCTCACCGATAAGACTTTCAATTAAGGATATACGCAAGGTACCTTACCTACAGATAAATTTTCAAGATATTCTTAATTTAAGATTACAGTGTCATCAGATGTTCATAGACAAAAAATCAGCATACCTTACCTGGGGTTTTCGAAAGATACAAAATGATGAAATTTTTTGCATTATTCAAAGAAAAATACGCAAAAAATTCATAAAATAAATTCCTGATTTTTTTCCCATCAAAATTTGTTTTAGAAAAGGTGTACAAATCCATATGTAGATATTAAAAATATGGCAGACAGGTCCTTCATTTAGTGGAACTCTTCAGTTCCAGGGAAGAACCCAAAAAAGTTCAAACTACGTTGCATATGACCTTAAAATGGTGAAGATTTAAAATGGTTATGTCGATAGCTTTTACCATGCCTGATTAGAGTCTTGGTATATGATACATTTAAAGAAATCTTGTTGCACAACCTACCTACTAAACTACATGTATACTGTATTTGCCCCCCCCCCATCTACATGTATCCGTCCGTCTACATGTACCATCTCTAGCCGTCTAAAATATCACGTTTCCAAGATAACTTGCAAAGTTTGATACGGTGCAATATTTTTAGTGTAGGATAAAATAATTTTTAGGGTTGATTAATTTACGTAGGACGAGAATTTAAAACTGACACTGAAGGTATTATTTTCACGTGTAAAATATACAGAAGAATTAATATATCTGTTAGAAGATCCTGGAAACTCTGACGAGTGTAGCAAAGAACCAATGAGGGCGCATCTTACAGTAAGAAGGTGGGACTTAATATCAATCAGGCGATTTGAGAATTTATAGCCACTGATATAGCCTAGGTCACCAAACAGAATTCGTGTCGAGATCGTCATGCCCTACGGTAAGTCCAAAGTGACGGACACCCCATCACAATGTAATGCTGTATATACTCTCGCTTTTCAAGCAGGCGTATTAAAAAAAATAAGGTAAACGTGCAATTACAATAACCGTATAACTGAAGTAAGTTTTGTTGTACCGATAATTATCACGTGGTCCTCCGTAGGAAGGATACACTATTGTTCATAAACTTATTCTAATTTCCATGGTTTGCAGCAGTAGAGGCAATATTTTGAAGTAAATTTATTGAGATGAGACAATAAATATTTATCGAATGGGTTAACCTACTCCCGGATTTTCCTTTTTCAGAGGTTAAAACGATTAAAGTTTGAATCGGAGTACAAATCTCGGTTTTCCGAGATGTATTTTCTCCCGCTACAGAGGGATAATCGCACTTTAGCGAGATGATCTCGCTAAAGAGGATGTGTTCCCAACCTGTTAAATGTACAAACATACATTGTAGAGACAGATCCTTTATAGGTACTGTAACCTGTAGTTAGAATAACCTAACTGACGTGTGTCTTAATACAAGCCCTATAACCACAGTTAGAATATTTCTCATCTAGTTACAAGGTAGTAATTATAGGAGCAGATCATTTTGGAACCAATTTTGAAAAAAAGGAGTTGGACTGAAAATAACTACGAAATTGAGCTTGAAATTTTTTGGTTTGTATAATTATACCCTCCATCTTAAAAGATAATTTATATAAATTAAGACAAAAACAAAACAAAACCGTTCTTCATACATGTACTAGGTTTTTTGCTTATTGGAAGTCTCTGGATTATCCATTGTAAACTTATTGATAAGAATTATCTGTCTCTATTTTTTTACACTGCAGGAATTCTATTTTTAAACAGGTCCCCTTGGACAATTGCATTTTCTGAAAATTTTATCCGTGTAACTTATAAGCATAGTATAAATCATTAATGTTGACTGAGTTGCGAAAACTGTCATTGTTTAACAAGAACATGCATACCATTTAATAGGCAAAAAAAAAAAAAAAAAAAAAGAAATTAAATAATTTTTTTTTCAGCAAAACCTAGAAACAGATTATCTTTACAACATAAAAGGAGAAGTCAGTTAAAATACACAGAAGATATAGAAATCATTGAAAGAAGTGATAGTGACAGCAATGAGGAAAATATCCCTTCAGCAGGTAGTGATTTACATTTAATTTCTAATAGACAAAGGGGGAAGAGGATGGAGATGCTGCACATTTTATGAATGAACTGGAATAATCCTTTTTGTGATACTTTTTTTTTTCTTCTGTGCTCTGTTAATTCACTTGTTATGAGAATATGACTATAACTTATTCATTAAGAAAAGTCATGTTTTCTTTGATTTGCTGTACAATTATCAGATTTTGAGTTAGAAATGAAACAGAATGTGTAATTGAATAAAATGTAAACACTGCATTTGTATCTGCATATCAAATTGTTTTTATCATTTCAAGTGTTTGGGGATAATGAAGAGGAAAATCAGGTTGCTGGGAGTGATGTGTTTCAGTTTAAAACTCCAAAAAAGTCAGGAAGTATGGCACAAAAAGGTACATGTATGCTCATATTATGTAGGAATGTACATGTTTGTTTGCTCTAACACAAATTCAACATGATTCTCTTTTGCCCAAAGTCCATTTGCTCTAAAACTTGATCACTGAAAGTCTGTTGCTCTTCATATGAAGTCGTAAGTTTTGTAATTGTGTTTGATTTTATTGAATTTTCTGCTTTAGTTATAATTTATTCGATTTTATGTGAATGTTCATTATTATAAAGAAATATAATTACTCATAAGTAATCAATGTGATACTTACTGGTTAATTTATAATAAGTTATGTTATACACTGTATTATTATCTTTGTATTATGTTGAGAATAAAAGATTCTTAAAAATTAACCCATTGCTAAGAGGCTGCTCATCCAATTAAAATGAATAATATCTCAATTTCTTAAAGCATTTTCAAAACATACATTTAATATGAAAACCCTATATATTTATCTATAGTATTTAAAATAGGGCAAAAGGGATATATGGGAAACAGAGTACAGGGGGAATGAGAATCATAGTGCACATTTACAGACCCTAAGCTTACATGCAGACTCTTGCAAATAGTAGATAGAGTGAACAGACCTACTACCAAAATGTAGATACTATGTATTGCACCAATAATTTCGTATTTCTAAGCTATATGTAAAATCCTTGGACATCTTGAAGTTAAATTTGCCTGATAATTTTGATATAATAAGGTTTGACTGTACTGTGCATTTTACAAATTACTTACATTCACAAATCTTTGTTAAGCATCTGAGGCAAGAACACCAAAGACTCCAAAGTCCATTCTGAAGAGCAGCAGGAAGGGATCTGAAAGTAGGACTCCACAAAAAGGTTGGAGACCCGTTTTACAATATCTCGCAGATTTTTTTTTTTAATTTTAACTACTTTCGGATTTTTTTCACTAATTTGAATGAAGAATTAGTTTTGATTTATTTTTCACAAATTTATACTTCTGGTAACTCCTTTAGGATTTTTTTCACCAATTTGAATGAAGAATTGGTTATGAATTATTGTTCACAAAGTTATATTTCTGGGTACAGTCCCTACAAGTGATAATTACTCGTATTTTTACAGGGGAAGGAACTCCTACAAAGGGATTACAAGTTAAGAAGAAAGGGAGGAAACCAGAGGCTACAACACCATTTAAGCTCCGGAAAAGAGCCGAATGTAAGTGTATGTTCAGTGATTCATTTTGCCCAGCGTATTGCGTTATTTACGCATTACATTCATTAAATACCCGTTGGTTTTTGTCCAGTGCTTTCCGAATACGCATAAGTGATGACCCGGATAAAATAGAATCGAAGTTTCCAGTTTCTATTTTTATCGTTCATTCTATTTTTCGGAACAACTGCCATAAGTTTTAACATACTTCATTTTTCATTTGTCAACTATCAATCATTTAAACAAGAGACTGATAAGTATAAGATAAGGTAAAATAAGGCCTACATTTAACAGGTGTTTAATTGTTTAATGTGTCGTAATCAACTCACACTCACACATACAAAAGGTCATAAACCGACCCCGATTTTTAACAAAGAAAATAATCAAAGCAATTAACAGGACAGTAAATAATCAGTGCTCTAACTGTAAAAACATTGCTTTGGAGTCGGTAAACAATTACTTGCCTGGAGGGGTTCACAGCATTGGTTTCCTTTCATTGGGACTTGTAGAGGGGTGTTTATTTGCAGTGAATTTTCACTGAGTTATTTAAAACCTAAAATATTTTTTTATTTTATTGTATTTCATTAAAAAAAAAAGATTACTTTGTCGGGCAGATAAGGTACATGTGTACTACGATTATGGAAGCATGTGGCAAAGGAATGTGTGACCGTCTAAAAATAACATTGGTAATGACGGTCTACAAGGAGACGATAAACATGCAGCTCAAATTGATTTTAACTTGCTTTTTCATGTCATTTTAGTATCTAAAGGTTGTGAAAGTGACATTTTTAACAAGTATACTTCCCAACAATAACTTCCAAAGTTTGAAATATGGCGATAAACAAAAGAAATTGCATATGTCTCTAGGTAGTACTACGGTATGTACGTATGATAGCCATGTTTCACCTGAAAGAAAAACATATCAAAATTTTAAAATACGCACCCCTTTTCTCACAGAAATTTATTTTAGGAAAAAAGTGCTTATTATATTCCGCCAAATACGGTAATTGAAAAAAAAAATAAAACTTTGCTTGATATCACATTCTTAGTTGTTGTTAAAATTCTGACCCATTGATTTTGAGTTCTGACTGCTGACAGAGGGGTACACTGTACCCATTCAATCAATTTTCAAAATGAATCACTGTATGTTATACAATAATACTTGAAGATGGAGTGCAGTAAAACTTGGTTATAGCGAAGTCCTGGGGACCTATGAATTTAATTCACTATATCCATAATTCGTTATATCCATATAACGAATTTGTATAAGTACGGGTATATGTAGCGAATTCGCAATAATCACGCTTTCCTATAAGTATTACCATAGAATATCATAGGGAATCAATTATTACAAAACATACCTTGGCTAACTAAGGTTTTCATTATGAATTAAATTTCATTGGCAAATTTTTACTAAATATAAAGTCAGTTCAATATACCTAATTTGGAGATTTTTGAATATTTGTTATAAAAGATGTAAATTTCATTATTATTAACCTTTTCGGGACTTAAAATCAGTTCGCTATATCCGTAAATTCACTATATCCAAGTTCGTTATAACTGTAAAATTTTACAAAGAATTGTTAATAATTTTGCCGGGGACCCAGAAAAACTTTGCTATATCTGTGTTTGTACTAAACGAGTTTTACTGTATTCCTATATATAAAATCCTCTAATCAGCTTCTCTGATCAGAATAATCAATACGTGTATATGATACGTTCAATTTTAATCAAACTCAAGACCAGCTATCCAGAAATGAAAGGATTAAGTTTTATTAGCTCTTCTGAGCCAAAGGCTCAAAGAGCTAATGCTATGGCCATTTGTGCGGTGTGCGTAAACTTTTTAGAATATGGGCCATAACTCAAGAACCCCTTGGCCAATCAGTACCAAATTTGTCACAGGGTATCCTTGGCCCAAGGGCTACCATTTATACTAAAATAAGGGTTGGGACCCTTAAACAAGGGGAGATAATCAGGAAAACAAAACCAAAAGTACTGGTTGCTAAAAAATCTTCTTCTCCATAACCACCAGGCAGATTTTCACCAAACTTACATACAAGAATCAGGATATGTTGAAGATTAAAATTTGAACGGGGAATTACCCTGGGGCAAAGGGCGTGGTCTCAAGGTCACTTCAAAGTTGACCTAAATTTACAATTAATAAAAACGTGTATATTTTGCTTATTATAATGACTAAGACCATCAAATCTTGTAAGTTGATGCATCTTACGACTTCAAATCATGTTGATTCAAAAGTAGGTCATGGTGACCTACTTTTTAAATTTTGCGGGGATTTGTTTTCAAATTGATTTGAAGGCATATTTTGGACACTTTAAGGCCTCTGATCATCAAACTTTGTCAGTTGATGCATCTTGACAATGTCAACTTAAAAGTGGTCACTGTGACCTACTTTTCGAGACTTATCTTTTTAAAAACATTAAATCCCATTATTTCAGACACTGTGAGGTTTAGAATCATCAAATCTTGTACTTTGATGCATCTTGTTAAAACATATTCATGAAAAAGTACGTCACTGTGACCTACTTTTTGACTTTTGCCGACATTTGTTTTCAAATTGTTTCAAACGCATATTTTGATTACCTTCAGACTACGATCATCAAACTTGGTCAGTAGATGCATCTTGATCATGTAGGTCATGATGACCTACTTTCGACATTATATGGCTATATTAAAGTATCTTAGGTATTTATTGGCTTAGAATCATCAAACTTTGTGAGTCGATGCATATTTGGTTTTTGGAGAGTGAGGACCAAAAAGTAGGTCACAGTGACCTACTTTTGACATTTTATGGCTTTATTTAAGTATCTCTGGTACTTATTGGCTTAGAATCATCAAACTTTGTGAGTTGATGCATCTTGGGTTTTCGGAGAGTGATGACCAAAAAGTAGGTCACAGTGACCTACTTTTGACATTTTATGGCTATTTAAGTATCTCAGCCACTTATTGGCTAAGAGTCATCCAACTTTGTCAGTTGAGGCATCTTGGGTTTTCAGAGAATGTCGACCAAAAAGTAGGTCACAGTGACCTACTTTTGAATATCTCAGGTACGTATTAGCATAGAATCATCAAACTTTGTCAGTTTAGACATCTTGGGTTTTCGGAGAATGTCTACCAAAAAGTAGGTCACTGTGACCTACTTTTGACATTTTATGGCTATATTTAATTATATCTGGTACTTACTGGCTCGGAATTATCAAGCTTTGTCAGTTGAGGCATCTTACAGTTTCATTGAATGTCCAACAAGAAGTAGGTCACGATGACCTACTTTTGAATATCTCAGGTACTTATCGGCTTAGAATCATCAAATTTTGTCAGCTTAGGAATCTTGGGTTTTTGGATAACGTTGACCAAAAAGTAGGTCACCGTGACCTACTTTTGACATTTGGTGGCTATATTTAATTATCTTTGGTACTAATTGGCTTAGAATCTTCAAACTTTGTCAGATGATGCATCTTGGGTTTTCAGAGAATGTTGACCAAAAAGTAGGTCATGGTGACCTACTTTGGAATATTTTCAATCAAAAGGTTGGTCACTGTGACCTACTTATGGTATTTTACAATTATATTATAATATCTTCAGTCTTAACTGGCTAAATATTATCAAACTTTGTAAGTTGATGCGTTTTGGGTCTTATGATACTAATAGAGTTGGAGGCTTCTAATAGAAGTGATAGATTGTACAATTTATCAGAAGAGCGATTCAAGGCCCTTGGGCCTCTTGTTGCCACTGTGGTGGATATTCAAAATATAGTTGAAATTGATGGAGTGATTTGAATATTTCTTTTGTTGGAATGCTACTGTACCTGAAAGAAACAGCCAATCCAAATTTCTAGGTGACATATCTTATGAAATTAGTTGCCACTTAGAGCTCTGCTGTGCTACATGTAAATTGTATGTGGTATACAGATACACTCTATGCATCAGTCTTGTTGCCATGATTGTAAAATTGTAAAAAAAACTTTACAAATCTTTTGAATTGCTTCTACATGTAGCTCCTACTGTTTTTAAGTGATCTCATAGAGACTTAGCTATAACATAACATTCTGGTTTTTTGGGAATGATCAAGTCACCATAAGTGGGTGTATCACGTGTCTTTAGTACCATTTTAATGGACAGTGTGACCAAGACATATGATCCATAGTTCTCAAAAGGGGATTGTATTATTGAACTTTTTTAAACAAACAGAAGTGGCATTCAAATGATATTCTTTAAAAATGTGTGTTTTAGGTTCAAGCACATTCAGTGAGACACCTTTGCATCACAATTTAAACTTTAATATGCAATTAACCCAAAATATTAGAA